CGAGGGTAGTCCCAGAAGTACCCGACCTAACAAAACAAACACAAAAAAGTTGGGAAAAAATATCGTTATTTCTCTACATAGTCTCCTTTTAGCTCGATACACTTTTCCCAGCGATGTTCAATAGCTTCGATACCCTGTTTATAGTGAGAATCGTCGAGCTCCTCAAAATAGCCATCAACCGCAGACTCCACCTCTTCATTGTTGGCAAATCTTTTACCACCGAGCCATTTTTTCAAGTTTGGAAACAGAAAATAATCCGAGGGGGCTAAATCTGGCGAATAGGGTGCATGAGGCTTCGCCAAACCCTCGATTGAAACACGGCGCTGATTTTGTTCCATTGTGAGTAATCGCGGCACCCATCTTGCGCACAGCTTTCTCATGTCCAAATTTTCAGTCAATATGCGATGTACAGCACTTTTCGAAATGCCTACCATGTCTGCTAGCTCGCGCACTTTCAGTCGACGGTCATCCAATACCATTTTGTGGATCTTTTTCACCATTTCTGGCGTAAGCACCTCATTTGATCGACCACTGCGATGTTCGTCTTGGTAGCTCGTACGGCCTCGTTTAAACTCTGATACCCAATATTTTACTGTTGTAAACGAAGGAGCAGACTCCCCCAGAGTAGAATCTAGTTCCGCTTTGATATTGGTTGGACTGAGGCCTTTCAAATGAAAGTATTGTATCACATAACGATGACCAATTTTTTCCATCTTTACAAATTCACTGAGAGCGTTCACTATTGATGGCTGTCGAACAAATACTAAATAATGTAGCGTCGTCAAACTTCAAACTTAAACTTTATAAGGTTAGTACTTTCTACTATAGTCATTATTTTTAGACAAAAACCGCCATCTATGTGTCAGGTCGGGTACTTCTGGGACTACCCTCGTAAACGAGTTGAATATTACAAGATGGATAATGGTTATTATGTTCAACGGCGACAGCGTGGATATCTTATTAATCACTATAAAAATGATGTCAACACACGGCCGGAAAATTATTTCTTTTCATTATTACTTATGTGTCATAAAACGATCCGTTGCTTGGGTGTTACTCGCGAGCACGGACTAGCTCGTCGGGGCCAGGTTCGCGGACGGATCGAGACACGTAGAGTTTTTGGCACGATGAGTTTATTCAGAGATATACAGATTGCCCGGGCGGCACGCGATTGTCGGGTCGCCGGTCCGGGCGATTTTCGCAGGAGCCGTTACATCGGCATTTACAGCGAGGTTCTACAACGCGTATTTACAGCGGTATTTTACAGAAATATTTACAAGCACGGTCGGGCGCGCGTGTTCGGGGCGCGCGAATTGTCGCGGGGGGTCGCCACGTGACGGGACGGGCGCGACGGTGCGTGGATCGCGGTCGATGTCGACGGCGCGGTGCGCCGCGCGCCGGCGCGGGCCGGCAGGCGAGCGCGGCGGGCGCGGATGCGTTTCGGCGCGGCGCGAGATTCCGGGCTGGTCTTTCTACGTCAGACCGTGGAAAATCGAGCGGGTGCCGGCAAGAACCTGGCGGAGGCAAAGCACTCTCTACCCCCTTGCCCCGTACTCGATAGACAGATGGAGACCGGCCGCCCCGGACAGCAGTAATCCTGCTGGAGGCGAGGAACACCTCACCCCCTTTGTATCCGGTCGGTCGGTTGGCGGGATTATGTTCCCTCGGACTTTGATCGGGAGGCCCCGATGGAGGCGGAGTACTCTCCACCCCACGTCTCAGTCTTCGGAACACGGAGAGGATTCGGGTGCGGATGCCTTCGAGCTTTTCGGCTGGTCGGCGGCGGAATCTCTCGTTTTGGCGTTCGTTTGCCCTTTTATATTGCTGCCGATTTTGGCGGCGCTGAAATCGGCGGCGCGTGGCGGGGCGGCGCGTGGCGGGGTGGCGCGCTTGCGCCCATCGGCGCGGTACGGAGCACGCCGGGTAGACGGCTTCGGCCGTTTCCGCGGGTTTTCGGCGCGTGTCGTCTCGGCGAGCGTTCGCGGCTCGTCGCACGGCCGGTGCTGGGTGATTAGGCGGAGGGCGCAAGACGCCCGCCCTTCGCCGGATCGTTTGATCGGCGGCATCCGGCGGTCTTAGCCGGGGAACGATGCGGCTTCGGGGTGCATCGTTACAGTGTCAATCGTGGCGGAAATTAGAAGATCTTAAAAATGGGTGTGATACTTATACAGAGTCATTTCACAAGATAAAATTACACAATGTGGAAGCTTTGCAGTATCATGATAGATTAGAAGAATTGAAGAAAGCACATGAAGATGCCGTAGAATTAGTTAAACAACAATTAGATGAGGAAAAACAGAATGTATCTCAGGATGATCCTGATAATCCGATAGGTGTTCAAAATATTGAAGCTGGTGAAGCGATGCAAGATTTTAAAGATCTCGGTGACAAATTAGTTCAGGAAATCGACGTATCTGAAATGATTTCAAAACTGAATGCAGATCAAAGAAGAGTGTTTGATAGAGTTATCGATACTGTATTATTGGAGGATAAATCGTTGTTGCGATTGTATGTTAGTGTAGAAGGAGGTACTGGCAAAAGTTTCTTGATAAGAACAATTAAATGCTGGATTAAACAAAATCTCAACAAGGATACTGCTGTAGCAGCCCCTACTGGTATAGCAACGTTTAATATAGACGGTTTAACAGTTCACAGATTACTTCAATTACCTGTTGAACATGGTCAGACTCCTAAATATAAACAATTGTCCGATTATGTGTCGAAAGTTTTACGAGCAGATCTCAAAGATGTCATTCTTTTTATAATTGACGAAGTGTCAATGATATCTAATTTGTCATTTATGTATATACATCTACGATTATCTCAAATATTTGATACTATTAATTGTGATGACGGTTGGTTTGGCCGAAAGCATATTCTTTTATTTGGAGATTTGCTTCAGTTACCTCCTGTACACGAAGATCTTGCTTTTGTACGTTTATCGGATGAAAAATTTTCTAAATACCTCGGTTCGTTATGTGCCCCTAATATATGGGCTACGTTATTTAATTATGATGAATTGACAATCAACATGCGTCAGCAAGGAGATGGATCTTATCGTGAATTACTATCGAGAATTCGCGTTGGTTTGGTAATTAAGTCTGATTATGAAATTCTCGAAAGTAGAAAAATATCTTTCAAAGGTGTAACTTTTGAAACGAGATTACACGAAGTATGTAATTATATTGATAATTTACCGTCTGACGCAGTTTGTTTATTGCCTACTTGTCATATGTGTGATGTTCTTAACGCTGCAATGCTGAATCGTATTGCTTCGAAAGAAATATTATTAACTGCTGAAGATGCGATTCAATGTACTAAATATATTAAAAAGAAGGTTGAAAAGCTATTGTTAGATACTGATGATGACAATTCTAGAACAGCTGGACTTTCGAAACTAATTACTATTAAAATTGGAGCGAAAATTATGATAAGACGCAATATCGATGCCAGTTTGGGTCTTGTAAACGGTACGATCGCTAAAGTTACTTCAGTTGTACAGGATATCTCTAGTAATTATATAGAAAAGATCAAGGTTCTTGTACCATCCGGTTCCGAATATTTAATTGAAAGAGTAAACGTCAAGTTTAAAGTAATGGATAGAGCATATGTTATAAGAAAACAATTTCCAATATCTTTGAGTTACGGCATCACCATTCATAAAAGCCAAGGATTGAGCTTGCAAAACGCCATTATGGATATAGGTAATTGTTCGCGAATCCCGCGAGGCGAGTTCGCTGGTTACCGCTGCTGGTGGACGCAGGGTGAGAGGACTTAGCGGTGAGAGGCTCAGGGAACGGATGCACGCTTGCGAGGGTGGAAATCACGTGATCGTACCTCGTGTAGATTGGATAAAAGTATCGTGTCCCAGTTTAATAAATGAAAGAAGCTTACAGTGAGCAGTCTATGAATAAGCGGTGAATGAGAGGTCCTTAAATCACTTGCACGGGTCGATATTATTGATCGAACACCGGCCTCGCGATGTAGATGCCCGTGAGCCGTGTCCACGCGGCGCCGGCTTGCGCGATGCGTGGTGAGCCTGAGTCGCCGGTGATGCTGTATCCCGAGCTGCCTGAGTTGAGTCTCACTGTTGAGTCCTCTATTTGTCCACACTGAGTCCAGTCCTCGCTGAGAAAAGTCCACGAGAGCACACTAATGTCCTTAGCACTGCACGACGCGTGTACTTAGTACCGTAGCCATGAGCCAAAGAGACCCGGAAACGAGCGTGAAGAAGCGCGCTCGCCTCGCGTCGCGATCGGGCATGCGCGCGCAGCGCCCCTGTGGCGCTGCACGATCCGACCCGGCTGATGCTGCCATCACGCCGGTGACGAACAGACCGAGATTCATAATTGAATCCGGAACAGTAATTCTGTATTTAGTTGTGGGCAAGTATATGTTGCATTATCTCGAGTAACATCTCTCGATGGTGTACATTTAATTAATTATGATCCTTCATCTGTAATAGCTAGTGAAGAAGCTATTATTGAGTATAATCGATTGAAAAAGACATATAAACCGCAAGCGGAAATAATTACTATTTCGAAGGAACGTCGTCATAAAGTGAAAGACGTTCTGTGGACATCGTCAAAAGTAATTGCTTCCGTTCAAGAGCGAGATCAAGGAGCTCAACGAAATACTGCTTATTGGATCATACGTGGTTTTCAAAATACAGATAACGTCTCATGCTATGCAAATGCAGTGTTACAATGCTTATTGCAGTCAAGTATTATTCGAAAAGAGTTGGTTAATGCTGATAAACTTGATGCTTTAAGAAAATTAGCGCATTGATATGAAAGCGCAATACAGAATTTAAATACGTATGAAGTACGGCAATATATAGGAGAATATTTTTCAATAAACGTAAAACGAGATGCATTTGAATTTCTAACCAATTTGTGCACAAAACATGATTGTATAAGAAATCTGCTCGAGCATCGAGTAACTTTTACTAATCGGTGTAAATCTTGTAATAATACAAAAACAATTACTTCTAATAATTTGGGCGGGGGTAAAGATGGCGAGGAGAAAAGAGGTTGGTGAAGGAAGGCGGTGAGAGAAGTGTCGGAAGTGAGATGTAAAGGTGGAGGGTGAGGAAGAAGGATGAAGTGAGAGTGAGAGGAACGAGAGAGGAACCAGAGGACATGGAGGCGAGAAGAATAGGCGGAAGGCGGAGGAGAAATCGAAGCGGAAAAAGTGAAGCGGCAATGAGTCGGCGATTCTGGACTAAGGAAGGAGGAGGAGGAGAGGGGAGCGAGGAAAGAGCGATGGAAGGAGGAACGGGAGAAGAATCGGTGGGCAGGAAGGCGAGAGAAAATCGGGAAAAGTGAAAAGTGAAGGAGAAACGGGAATGGAGAAGATGAGATGGCAGGAATCGGCAGTCTTGGAACGAGGAGAAAGGAGGGACGAGGAGCGAGGAGAGAGGAGGGAAGAGGAGCGAGCATCGATATAATCGATATAATCGATACAGGGAAGGAAGAGGATTGGACGGGAGGATCGAGAGATCGAAGGAGAGGAGGTGGAAAGCGACAGTGGCGAGCCGAGCGATATAGAGGGAGAGAGGGGAGAGAGACAGGAGAGCTCGGGCTGGTCGATAAGCTCGAGTAATCGAGTGATCGACAAGGAAGATGTAGAAGGAGCGGGAGAAGGGACAGGTAGTACAGGTAGCAAGCCACGCGGTAGTAGGAAACGGAGAAAAAGAACAAGGCAAACGCGGAGGCAGAGGAAAAAGGAGAAAGACAGGCGGAGGAGGAATCGAGAGGAAAGAGAGAGCAAGAGTGGAGAGGAGTGAGGGAGAGGTGAGAGAGAAGGAGACAGGAGAAGGGGAGAGAGGGAGGAAGGAGCAGCGGAGACAACGTGTGGGAGAAGGAGAGGAGCGGGAGGA